TCTAGGTTGAGAAGGAGTCAATTTCAAAATGCTAACATGTTTTAAATTGACAGATGGCACTTTCGCCGCCAGATAACTTTTTATGTTATCCACAGATCAGGTGCCAGTCTTGACACAAATATTGCCTTTCTGGGAGGAAGTGCCTTCAAGCAAATGTCATCTGTACTAGGAGCAGGGGAGTTTTAAGTTGGAGAGAATATAGAAAGGGTAACCACACTTGCAAGAACAGCTTTTGCGACGTGCCCAGTTTGGCGACCAGCGTTCACATTCGAACAGCCAGGAGGAGAGGGCGATTTACTATTATCATCATTAGTTTCGGGCGATGACGCCTAAGTGGATTGAGTGACACCAATGGGAGGAGATACCCTTGCCATTTCAGCATAGCTCAAACCAGAAGGACTTCCCGGCTTATTTGTAACTTTTTTGTTACCGAACGATTCAACAATAGCAGAAAAGCTAACGTTCTTTGCAGACTTTGAGGAATCGCTAACTTACACCAACGAATCGGACTTAGAAGAACTCAGAGGTAATGAACCACCCGCTATGGTACGAGTTGTAACTTTGCTAGCTGGGGAAGAATATGGGTGCGCAATATAACGACACTCATCAAACCTAGTCTTAATTATTTAAAATTTCTCCCACAAGAAACCGAGATTTTTGCTCAAATCTAAGAAACAATTTCTCGTCTCCGCGCAGAGTTTGTGCAAATCTATGTCCCGCTTTCTACAGTCAGTACATGATATAACATGACATCGTAAGCTTTTTGAGGGATCAAGGACTGCATCAGCAGCACGGCCAATAATACCAGCACACTTTGCATAGCACAAACGATAACACAGACAACCCGAGATAAATCGTTCAGATTCATGACCTGTTTTCGCACGACTTGGTGTAAATAAACAATCCATGTCCAGTGAAAACAAGTAGAGGGGTTTATGAAGAAAAAAAAAAGAACAAAAAACTGAAAGATTCCACGGCACAAAAGAAACTGTAAACAAAGATTAACAGAAAGAAAGACTTTTACCAAGAGCTCTAATTGTTGATTGCACAAAACCAAAATGAATTTTTCACAAAAACGATTAATATAATTCATATAAGTTAAAATAACACTTTATTCTTTTAAAGATTTTTATAATATAGACAAGAATAAAGCCAAAAAACTAACAAATACGCTAAGAAATTGAAATATTTCTTGCACAGAATTAAAACGCGACTACAACACGTACTCAGAATTGCCAACTGCAAAATACAAAGATATTTTATTCAACTTTCTTTGCTTATATTACAATTTCATATATTATTTGTAATTATTGTCGTCTTTCTACCATTTTTCTTGATATTTACCGTATATTTAGTTTTACCTATGCTAACTTTTAATTTAATTGGATAATTATACAGTACAATTATAAGTATTATTGAAGTTACCCTTGTATGCTAGCAAATGTAAAATATTGTGATTAGATTTAATTGATGTTATCAAATCACAATTTGTAAAATGTTGAATTTTACAAAAACATAGGTAAGATGTAGTATCTTCAATGTGAACACAAAAATAGTATATTCCTCTCCCTACGGCAGATGAATATTTACATGAATGAAGTCTAAGTGCGTAGATATTTATAAACGTCGAATTATAGACCAATTCTATAGTGATTTCTTTATGAAGATAGTCGATCAATTGATTTTTTCAAATTTCAAATTTTCAAAAACTCTTTATGTATACTCCGGCTTCATCATATTCTTTTTCCACCTCTCGTCATGCGCACTAATTTAAAAAAAATGAATTGACTAATTTGCTCCGTTAGTGGTTGTCAATGGCAATTATTTCATTAATTAAATCATTGATTGTGTGAGAAATTTCTCCATCGCTTTATTGTCTTTATTTCAATCGATTGATAATTTTATTCTCTAGGTTTATAATATTTTGCCTTTGCATGTATATGTTCGACCAATTTCTTTTTGCTAAAATAACTGACGTTTATGTTCACTCAATGTGATGAGCTCCCGAAGCCCACTCTTTGGAAATTAATTACTTCATAACATCTTCTGTAATTATGATTATGTTATGCATTTTAGAACTAACAATGTCTATATCAATAATATTTATCAATGCTATAACGACACATTGAATTTGTAGAACTCTCAGGAGAATAATATTCCCATGATGCAATTTTTTTGATCGTTTTGATGCTTGTTAGTTGATTTGTTTCAGTTGTTTGATAGTCTGAAGTCTTAAACCCATCGTCACCCCTATACGAATATATTAGTTTCATTTCTGTTTAACTAGTTTTTGTTACTTTTATGCTGAAATCTAAATTTGATACATAGAAACCACAAATCTCTCCTGTAAATAGATCTCTATAAAACATATAAATAAACCTTTTGCTACCCTAGAAGTCACAATTCATTGATACGAACTTAGTTTCGCAAAAAATATGTAAATTTGTAATATGTATCGCTTATTATCCACATTGCACTGCAAAAACCTTGTAGGTTTTTATTCCAATTAGTTCCGATTTTTTTGCACTAACACTATTTATATATACTGTAACGTAAATTGCTTTGTTGCAATTTCTGCCTATTTATTCTACTCCTTGAGATTAAGTTCGTACCACTGAATTGTGAGTTTTAGATTTACTTACAATTCTTGGAAGCTCTATTTGCAAATTGTTTACAAGAACCTTCATTTGAAATGGTGGTGACTTTCTCCGCTTGAATATTAGGATTCAATGGTCAATAATATACACAATATTCATTTGATTTCATTTAATTTTTTCATTTATTGGGTAACTATAAAGCCAATAGCTTACTTTCATTGTGAAATTTTTGTGCTAATCACTTTTGCGCGAAATGTTCTGCGAATTATTATCACTCTCTTCGGTAATCGCCAGCTGCATCCATTTTTTTTTTTTTTCATAGAATTTGGTTCCTTAGAAAATCGAATCGTTTTCATGCTAACTCAAATTATCAAATGTAGGATTTTCCTACCCAATATTATTGAATTACTAATCTGGTATATTATATTCCCAGCTTTTTGCATTTTTACGAGTTCAGTTTTTTCATGACTGCTAATATCCGATTTGTTTCCTTTTATACCTACCACTGCAGAATAGCGGCGTGTTCGTTTTGGCAAAAAGCTTAGAAAAATGAGAAGAAAGCTTCAGAGATTCCACGATATATGTATATTCTTGATTGATGTCAAATTTGGAATGCAGCTAACCATATCCACTTGTCCGCCTGTCTGTCTGTCCGCAACGTAATATCTGCGGTAAACATTCTCTCCTTCGCAAAAATGAAGATATCGGCTAATCGAGGACGTACAAGTTAACTGAGGCCTTCCTTCGACGTTTTCACGGAAGCAAAAAACTTTAATATTCTATAATACTGGGTAGGCGTGGTCAATTGTTTCCATTTTGAGTGTGCAGGCACTATAGGATCATCCATAAAGAGCATGTGCGAATTTTCACTTTATTATGGCCAGATACCTACATCAGATGTACTTTATTATGCTCGCGCAGCTCACTCAAACTTTGAAGGCGGTCTAGCTTAAATGCAGCTGTTACTGCTTGTTCTTTCAAGGTCTTTAAGGTGGCTTAACTATCGCAATGAGCTCAGCTCTCTCCTGCATTACCGTCTCAAACGCTCGAAAGCATATGTACGCTTGCGATTAAAATATGGAGGGAGAAAATTTTAACAATGTGACGTATGCTATCCTCGGCCCTTTTCCAGTTTCAAATCATCAGCTATAGTATTACTCTAGGTTATACATCTTGGCCGTCCCGATGCCATCGCTCTGAATTGGTAGATGAGATTTGTCAGTTTTAGTTTGTCGTTTTTCGGTAACCTGATCACGTATCCGTTTTTCTCCTACGCCGCTGTTGAAGATTCGTTCATCCCTAGAGTTATGACCATCACGTTATTGCTCCTGTCCGTCTAAAACCTTCCGGAATTTGACATTCAAGCGTTTCTTAACGCCAGACAGTTTAAGATGTCTATCGGCTCTACATTACCTGATCCGCGGAAATCTTCTACGTTACACATAAGATCAGAGAATTCTACCCTCAGAGGCGACTTTAACTTTAGCGCCCTTGTGGAATTTTAACATTGACATTGCTGTCTTCAGCAAGTCCGCTGTCTCCCTCCTCTTGTGGGTCAGTATGAGCTAGATCGGGCGGAAAGTGTAACTAGAAAATTTTATGGTAAAAGAAAATACTGTATTGCCTTTAAATTGATCATCGTAAGATATCGCTGAGTATTCGATGGGGATGATTCCCAGCCGTATCATATCTCGCAACTTTTTGAGAGAGAGCGCAGCACCAGATGTCTTAGCCGCAGTCCTGCTTGGAGTCTTACTGTGTGTTGCTGCAGTTTCCCTTGGATGTTTTGGCGAGTTGATGGCGAGGAGTCATTAAAGTTGGCACGTTTGCGGCCGGTATCCTAAAATCCAGCGCCATGCTTACGCGCCTCTTCGAAAATCATGTCGTTATGTAGTACCAATAAGTACTCTTAGCCTCTTTTTCCTTGTACCGCCTTTCTCACTCTCGAAATGGGCCAAATTGATCAAAGAACACGAGAACAATATAATATAACATCCCTTCTGACTCCAAGAGCAAAAAAGGGAAAAAAAGAAAGGTTATCACCAATCTATACAACGGATATCACAATAAAAATTTTCATATATATTCTACGGATTACACTATTTATAAATTTTAT